CACCCAATTCTGACGTCTGCAGCGGATCTGTCTAGCCACCAACATGGTTTCAAATCGGGTCGTGGTAACACAACGGCGCCTTTTGAACTCAGCGAGGCCATCCTCGAGGGCTTCAATCAACAGAAGCCCGCTTCGCGGACCCTGGCAGTCTCAATTGACCTGTCACGAGCCTTCGACTGTAACCGCCACGATCGTTTCCTTTTCCGCGGCACCCTCTCTAAGCCCTGTAAGCAGACCTGCAACGTTCCTCAAGACTCTGTGCTCAGTCTGACCCTGTTAAACATTTACATGCGAGACCTCCCACTCCCTCCGGCACCTGCGAAAGTGGTATCATACGCGGATGATTTCACCTTCTTCTGCCAGCACCATCACATTGATCAGGCTGCGCAGATTATCTCGGAGTCCATGCCTAACGTCGTGAACTTCTTCATTCAGTGCGGATTGAGGATCTGGGCAGCCAAGTCTTCGGTCACCGTTTTCACACTGGATCCGAAGGAGTTCAATCGCCACCTGGCCATCACTGTCAACGATGCGTCTTTACCGCTGGTCCGTAAGCCGAAACTCCTTGGCGTCCGCTTCGATCCTCTCTTCACGTTCGCGGACCACGCGAGTGAGGCCGTAAGCAAAGTGACCCGCTGCACCAAGGTCCTCAAACCTCTTGCGAGCACATCCTGGAGCTGCGCGAAAGAGACCCTCGCGACCACATTCAAAGCACTGGCCAAGCCACATCTCACCTATGCGGCACCAACCTGGTCTCTTAGAATCAGCCTTCCCAGCGTCCAACGACTTCAGTCAGCACAGAACGCCGCCCTCCGCTCAATCACGGGTTGCTGCAAGATGTCGTCTATCGATAATCTCCATGCGGAGGCCTCTGTCCTGCCGGTCGCCCCTCACAACGCACTCCTAGGTCAGCCACCTGGTTATCCAAATCACCACCGCTGCCACGACCCCGAACCTAGCCGCAGTCTTCGACCGTCTCTTAGAGTTCTCAACAAGGAAGCTGTGGCACCACGTCTCCCGGATCTAACCGTCGATGGCATGACAGGCCTCCAGCGTCTTAACTAGAGAGGTGCTGTGGACGAAAAACTCTGCTAATATGTAAAGTGTATTAGAGGAAACAAAGCAGACAGATAAGTCAGTCAGTCAAACTTTATTGTGCACATTCATAATAACTTTCAGCATTGTTCAAACGTTAATGAGCGTATTCACAATAACTTGCAACCCTGTTCAGTTGTAACACGTAAAAAAGTCTGAAACCGCTCTAACAAAATCTCAAAACTGTTCAGTTATAACGCATAAAGTACAACATAACACACTCACTTTTCCAGTTCATTCGAATACTTCAAATTCCTCATCTTCGGTGTCCGAGTTGAACAGTTGGGCCATTACGGTATCCATCATGCCCGGATCCCTCTTGTCGTTATCCTAGCCAGTGTCCTTGCTGTTACCTAACAGTTCACTGATGATCCCGGCCTTCCTGAAAGTCCAGACCACAGGTAAGACTAATACCTTAACCAATACATCTACGATCCATTGGCAGATAGTGGCGTAAGACATCTGGCATTGTCTCCCCGTCTTGGCAATTGTGTTTTCGCCTTCCATCATCCACTGCTTCCATGTAGCTCGCATTTTAACTTTGAACACCCTGTTGAAACCAATATCTAGTGGCTGGAGTTAATCTACTCGGAACAATGGCCAACTCTGAATTACGAATTGAGGCAAAGGTTCGCATCCCAGGTATGTGCATAGATTGAGAA